GATGCAGTTTTACAAATCAAGGTTCAGTTACACAAATTGATGCACTTCTTTTTCAATGAAATGGGATATCTCTCAGTTACAATTTGGTCAAATAGTTTGTTCCAGTCAGTGTTGCAAAGTACTAAGGAAGAAAAGAGGAAAGTGTAAGTATGGTACTGAAATGGTTCAATCTTGCAGGAATTATCTAATATAAAATTGGCAGCCCAGCACTAAATAGATTGAAAATTAGAATCTGAGTAATATAAATCTTGAAAAAAAAAACACAATCGGGCTATTTTTCGTCTTCTTTCTAGATTAGGAAGGTTTATGCTAGCTTTAAAGCGGTGACACTAGTTTCGGATGAATAATCACTGCATATAAATCTAGCTGCTTTGCTTTGAAGATTCGAGCCTCGAGATTAGGTAACTTAGGTGTGGATGTCAAATGTTGCTTGCATATTCTAATTTTGGAGGGATAAATGTTTTGTATGCGAGTAGTTTTGTCTTGATGGGAGCTAGATCCCTACTGAAAAATCTCATTTGTATGAGGAATTTCTGTGTCCAATACACATATGAATCATACAAGATATATACGAGCCCTATAAGAAACATAAGAACTATATAAGAACATGTAAGAAACTTGTAAGAAGTTTCTTATCTATTTTATATAGTTCTCATATAGTTTTTATATGGTTATTATATATCTTGTATGATTCATGTGTTTATTGAACACAAGAATTTTCTCATACAAATGGCTTTTTCCCAAACGAAGTGTTTTTAGTGCACTATTTTTTATTTGGACTCACTATCCATGATAGTGAGTCCATAAAATACACGCCCAAATACTTGTACGACAATGATTGTTCTAGTGGTTGGGAAAGTAACGAGTACTAGGTTAGTGTTTTAGTGGAGGACTTAATTATGGGCATTTCTTTGCATTTACATGTGTTAATGTTCATCGCCATAGGGAACACCATGATATTGTATCTAAATCGTCTTGGACAATATTGTGATCACTATAGGTGTATCAATTTTCGGGTAAATAACTCAAGCATCGGCGAAAAGTCTAATTGTCGATTTAATTGATGATGGTAGGTCATTGATATATATATTAGACACAATAAAGGCCCGAGTACACTACCCTTAGGGACACCTGATGCAACAGCAACGGGACGCGAATTGCCAGACAAGTATAAAAGTAATTACATTCTAAAATTGTGATGTGCTGGTTAGAAAAATGTATTGCACATAGTTTGAAAAATGTATTGCACATATTTTGACAAACTTTTCTTAGACCTGTGATAAACCTGCATAGGTTCAGCAATTCAATGCACTCTGCCTGTTCAAATATAGTACTTGTTCTGCAGCAAGCAACCTATCTGGTTACTACATCGAAAAAACACCTGTGACCTATTTCTTGGCACTGTCATAATGTAAAAACTTTATATTTGCAAAAAGAAAAAGTACCGTAATGCCCGAGCGTTGCCCCATACGCTGATGTACTTCGACATTACCGAGTCTGTGAAACGACACAGTTAGGGAGGCTAAAAACAAGTTTTGTACACAAGCAGAAGTGGACATGGGAGCTTCATATTCAAAGTTACTTGCTTTTACGATACAGAAGGGAAATAAGAAATTGGTCACCTTTGAGCACTGCGAAACGAGCCTCCTGGTATCCATAAGTTCTGAAAATATTGGTCTTGAAAAACATTAATACACATGCATCTTCGATGCTGTAGATTTCGTGACACCGAGACACACAATATCTGTGCAGCATGTTGGCATTTACGCTGTAGCACCACAAGATACCCAAGAGACTGCTACAAGGACACCGACTATCTGCACATAAACACACACACACACACACACAGATTCACCGACTTCAGAGAGCAGTTGCCTTTGCATGAGGATGAAGCGCAAGCTTGTTGCTGGCCGGACAGTAACTAATTTGTTTAGCCTTGACCCCTTAGCTTTTTCTTTTCTCTTAGGTGCTGCCTGGCACTTATAATATTGCTGTCATCTTGCAACAAAGGTTTCTCAGTTAAATGTTTTCACTGCAGTCCAACACATGCTTCAGCTCGAACTCAAGATGGGTTCATTATCACAGGCGTCAGACATACTTTTCCTTGGTCCGAGTTCGCTTCTTGACATCCGTGACGGTTGGCAGCGAGTATCTTTGATTGCAGAGTTTCAGCTTTGCAATATTGGCATATTGCAGGTATACCACGTTGCAGGTAGGGCGTCAAGTATACGCTCGCTTGGGGAGATCTTTATAGTTTCCATCCTTGCTAGCTGTAGTGATCGTTCACAGCGTGCTCCTCAGCAGTATTTTGTTTTCATCTTCGTAAATGTGCCTTGTAGACATGTGATATTAGAAGAAGCCAGTTGCCTATACTTTCCGAAGCACTCTTCTAAGTTGTCAGTTTTCAGCTTGTCCCATGGAGGCCGTACAGTAGCCCGAGTTCATCAAAGCAGTATCCAGGATGTGTATTTGACCGCTTCTGCAGGAAATAGAACGAAAAAGGATGAAATCATATTAATTCCAAAAAAAGGTAATGTAATCAAAAATGGTTATAAAAATACAAAACATGAAAAAAATAATGCTCTTCTTTAAAGTGCAGCTGAAGGGTTCTGTACTTGAGAGAAAACACTGGCAGTGTTTCGATCTGCTATTTTGAATCACAAACATCAAAATTATTCTTGAATTTGATGTGCTGAATGCACTATAATAATAATAATAATAATAATAATAATAAAAATAATAATAATGCTTAATGCACGATCACAAAACCAGGTACAGAAAATGATAATAATAATAATATGCTCCAAAGAGCTTCCTGGTGTGTGGTGGGATTCCTTGGGGAGCCTGAAGGAGCTCCAGCTATATTGTTAGTATATGGCTCTGGTGTATGGATAAGTAAACTGGTCAATGAACCATATTCCGGCTTGCGTGCACTCCAAACTACAGCTCAGAGACCCGCTAAAATGTAGATCTCACTAGTTGGTTGTAGCGGATCCTTTCTGCGCTCCGACGAGGATACGCAGAAACGACACAATGTACTTCTGTTGTTGTTGTTTTTAAACTGATGTGTTGGTTGCAACCACGATAACCTATCACTTGCCTACCTTGCGAAACAATTTACCAATCTAACTCATAAATCAAGTCATTTTTATTTAGTTCTGCAACTGCAAGTAGCACCAGCATTTGAATATGTTGCTTCCAGGCCACAACCAAATCACTCCCAAGCATGCATTCAGCGAAAAGTAAAAACAAGAAACGAAACCAGGATCATAAAAATTGAAAAGTACTCACCCTGCCATGCCGTCAAGGAGCGAGATCTTCCCGTCGCTACGCTTTCGTAGTCACCCTTGCAGAAACACAAATATGGACACTTTCACATCCAGTTTTCTGCCAAAGCGCGGATAAGAACCATCTTTGCGGAATGACAGCACCGAAAATCAACAAGCGACGCTCACGTTCACACACGAGGCCAACGAGGCCGCGGTTGTGTTGTATTCCAAAATGTGCTCGATCTCACTCGAGAGTTGAACTTCCGACTCTCGGCGTCCAAAAACCTTCTCGCTTCTAGAGTTGTTCTAGTCGATTCCTCCAGCCTTATTGTCACGTGACCCAACCCGCAGGAGGAGCTAAAAAAGCCGTCGAAGAAAGGAACGCGACGGACGACGACGACCGTTGGGGGAGAAAAAGAAAAGAAAAAAAAAACGCGACGCCGTGGCGCCTTTTTTTGTTTTTTTGTTTGCGCCGCGTCAAGCGTGCAAGCGTAGAGGGAAAGAAAAAGTAAAAGAGAACGTGCACTGCAAAGAAGCCAACTGTCAAGGGGAGCCTTGCGGAGAAGCGCACTACCAGTTCAGCCTACTCATGCCGACGCTCCTCGAAGGGAGAGAGGGAAGCGCTGCGGCTTTCCATCTAGGTGGTGTTGGCTGCGCTCACATGGCGTGGAAAGCTCAAGGATCCTTCTTTCCTCGCGCTTGTGCATGGCATGGCGGCTTCGTGAGTTGTTTCTCTCCCCTCCGTCGACGCTTCGCGTTCCCCCCTCCCGTTCTATTTGGCAGAACCCCCTCTTCTTTCTTTTCCGTGACCCTTCTTTTGTTTTGTCCGGCCTCCCTCGCCTCCCTCTCGGCTCGCCGGTCGGTCCGCCCGCCCGCCGCCGCTCGCTCGCCCGCGTGTGTGCGCGCGAGGGCAAGAGAAAGACCTCGAATCGACAAAACCAGTTTTTCAAAGAGATCCACACACACACACACACTCTCAGAGCGCAAATAAAAGTAAAAAACAGAAAAAAAAATATGCGCATTAATGCCGCGTCAAAATAAAATAAGTAGGAGATAAGACCCCGACGTCGAGGCCCAGAAAGTAGAAAATCAAAGAGTGATTTTTCGCGAGACCACGTTTTAGAAACAACGCGACATGAAGAGCTCTGCGGGGCCAGAAATAATAAAATAAAGAAAGAAAACGTTAACCTAACATCGAGGTGGGTGGGTGAATAGGTAGGAAGGCAGACGTGCGCTCGAGTGTCCTTAGAATGTGTGTAGTCGGTACGCGTGAACGAAAAGCGGACACGGACTGAATCCTAGACAGCGGCGTTGGCGGCGTCGACGACAAATAGGAGGGTCGGGAAGCTGGGACGAGATCGCGACGCGATCATTGGGCTACCTAGCGCACGGCGATCGCGAGCTCCGGGCCGAAAAATAATGGTCAGAAAGAGAAAAAACAGAAAGGAGCGAGCGGCTCGAATCAATAAGCACAACAAACACGCCTCGCCTAACGATCAAATCAATAGCTGTGTAGCCGGTCGACGCAGACAAGCACAATCAATACGCGTAGAAAAAGCGGCAAGGCGCAACTGCGTTTTCGAGTGCGTCCGTTTAGGTGCTGCATGGTCGGCGGCACGGCCGTGGTGGCGGCGGCGGCGTTCTTGGTGAACGCCGACGACGTTGTGTGGCGCTCCCCGAGAAGCGATGACGCCGGAGTGTTGGCGAGAGGTAACGATGCTTCGCACTTACTGTTGTGGGTTCCTCGTCGGCGTCCAATGATCGTAATCCTAGGCGGCGGCCGCGTACGACAATAGACGAGGCTCTCTGGACTTGGCGACAAAGCTGCGGGCTAGCATGAGCGCAGCGGCGATACACACTGGGCTCTTGCGCGCTGCATCGAGGGGACCGACGCGTCGCCTCGCTGCCGACCGGAAACCCGCAAGCGGCCGAAAGAGAAAATGTTCGTGACGTCACCGGAAGACCCGCCGCGCTCCCTGCAGGCTCTGACGGGAGTCTCGGTTTGGGGGAATTCCGTGGCTGCGCCGCGGCGGCGAGTACGGGCGCGCAGAATGTATTGAAGTTTTTCCAATTTTTTTTTTTTTTTATGTAGCTTTGCTGACGTTTTCGGCATTTTCACGTGGGTGATAGGTAAAGGTTACTTGATTGATCACTGCTAGAATTATTTTCTCAAAATATTTTGATGATTCATCTTCACATTCAGAAGGGGACACATCGAGACGTACTAAGAATCTGCCTGAAGTGAGGTGGCGGTGTAAGATATTTTACACGGTGGTTGAAGTGCCAGCGTCTGACCGCTCTAATTGCACCATAGGCTGCTACTACTTCCCACCTAATTCAGATACTCGAATGTTTGTGGAGCGATAGAGGGATTTTTTTAACAATGTTTATGGTGACTCCAATTTGATTCTTCCTTAGGTCGATTGGTCAGTCGGCCTAATACAGAGTGACGGTACTCGCAGTCATGAAAAAAGTTCGTCAATTTTATTTAACTCTTTCAGCTTAATGCGCTAAAAAATAATGTTGCTGGAAACGCTCTGGATTTGGTAATGACTAATATTTCTCTCTTGGGTGTCGGTCAGGCATGCGACACGCTTTTATCTATCGTCAGGTTTCATCCACCGTTTTTCTTATCTTTTTTTTTTCTTGTCATTCCGAGTGCACAACCTGCAACCAGTGGTGGATTTTCCATATGGGTATGGTGATTACGAGGGGCTATGTGGTCGTCTGCACAGCCATGACTGGGCGGATTTCTTCAGCATCACGGACGTCGACGCTTCCCTCGATATGCTGACGACGATTGTACGGGAAACTATTTATACCCAAAGTTCGTCCAACAAAGTCAAAATTCCCTAACGATAATAATCGCTGTAGAGGGGGAACAGAGGGGCCAAAGGACAAACAAACATCTCCAAACACCGCTATGTGACTCTTGTGCAGTGTTGTAGGCGTTACCGAAAAAAGCTAACGAAATACGTTGCTCGTTACTTGCAGAATAAAGGAACGCGTTACCGACCTACGTTACCTCGAAATTAAAATACAGCGTTACCATTACCGATAAGAAGTAACGCACGTATAAACTTTTGCGTTACTTTTGATTTATAAATTAACAGTGTTGTTATTTCTGTGTGTTTTTTACGACAGCGTTTTTCGACACAAAACAAAAAAACGTAAGAGTGTTGTTTTTTTTGTTTCGATTTTTTTTTTTAGGTGCGATTTCTTGCGCGGTGAAAAGACAGGCAAAATTTTGAAGGCGTGTGGAATGAGTGCACACATTAATGACTTGTCGCAAAAAAATATCAAAAACGAGATTGTGGGTAGGAGTGCGGGTGACCCAAACAAATGGCAGTTATACTTTGTTTCAGCACAAGTCCAGGCGCAGCCGACGCTACGAGCTAATTGGACCAATCAAGCAGCTTCATAAGCACAAGTCACTGTGCCTTTTTGTTTACGATTAATTCAGCGATCATTAAACACGTACGAAAACACGACGAAGACCATGATGGTTACCTTTTGACACTATATCATTGGTCCCCCAAAAAAACACGAAAAAAATTGAAGTCTATTCTTTTTCAGGTTTTGAGAAAAAGATGTAACGTATGACGTAACCACGTTACCCGCTACTCGAAATAAGTAACGTAAGTACGTTACGCGTTACTGATGTGAGAAAGTTGCGAGTACGTTACTACGTTACAAAAAAAAAAAGCAGCGCGTTACCGGTAACGCGTTACAATAACGCTGCAGTGGTGTGTGACTGAAAGAATCTGCCTGGTCCTGGTGTCGAACCAGGGCCCTCTCCGTATCCAGTGAAGCGCTCTACCGCACTGGAAATAGAGAGGTCCTTGGTTTATTACTAAAACCAAAAGGATTTTGTTTTTCTGTCGCGCATTACTCATGTAGCTGTGTCTTGAAATTTGTGTTTGTCGTTTGTCCCCTTCGTTCCTCTTCTCCAGGGATTATTATCGTTATTCTTTTCCAGCTCCCGGCACCTTTGCATTAATTGCATTAACATCGAAATTCCCTACTTGGTTCTCTGCAGATTTGAAATATTACATGTGCAAAACACGACTCTACCATAATCTATATAAGAAACTGAATTGCCAGTATTTGTACTTAAGATTCTCAAACTGTAGAACAATCGTTAAAACGTTTCTTGCTTCTGTCGAATGGCTTTACCAGGATAGTCTGGAAGGAGACATTGAAAATCAACCACATTGTTTTTGACGTCACGTGCGAACAAGTAACAACAATGTCAGCGCCACGGTGCTGAAAATGGACAGCAAGCTTTGTTGCAGATCGCAAGAGGCATCCGAAATGTTCGCTCGACATTTAAGCTTCACTTTTCTGCAGTTGGATCGCACGCCTGCGGTTTGCAGCTTTGAGGAAAGTTCTGACTGTTCGGCTTATGAACGTAAAACAGAAAATGAGGTGCTTGTTGCCGTGCGTTGTAGGCTGAAGCCAAAGGTTTCCACCAGGTTGAGACGGTATTCCCAACTTCATTAGCGCTTAATTGTTCTGTATACTTCTGGTCCTTGTCTTTTTTTGCACTATTTTATATGTTTGACTAATTATCAAGGAATCCGCTAAAATCCTTGATCCCACTATATCTCGCGTGTACACTTTGTCGTTGCGGTGCGCGGTGTTTCCTTCTCGGAAGAAAAGGTCTATGGTCGTCCTAATATTCAATTCTGGCGATTCCTGCGATGTCAACCTTCGCCCGCTGTCACTCTTATGTGGTTTTTCGAAAGTTCTTAAAATGGTCATGAACCTCAGAACTTTTTTATTAAACTAAAAATATCACCATTGGAGCATGGCTTTCTTAGACGTAGATCAATCGAACAAATATGAGCGTCTTCCTCGGATATATCGGCCGTTTGGTAGCCAACCGATGTGAAGTTGACGCTATCTATTTTGATATGTCAAAGGCTTTTGATGGGGTTTCACACAGTTTACTTTTGTCAAAATTAAAAAAAAGAAAGTAATATATATATATATATGCTTATGCTCTATTTACTCTATTTACTATTGTTTGTCTGGGCCGATCGCATCCTTATCAGGTGTGCCCGAAGGACCTAACGTTGAGCCGTTGTTGTTTTTGGTGTTCATAACGGCTTGCCGTCGCAGGTGCAAAGCTCACACGCACTATTGTAGGCCGATTACTCGAAATTGTTCAGTAGGTTCCATAATGTGAAGGATAGCCTTTTTGTTCCATAACGACGTACGTTCAGTTCAGCAGTGGTCCATAACAAATAGACTACAAGTTAATTTGAAGAAAACTGAGATTATGTCAATCATTAGAAAAGCACGAGAGCAAAGTGTTAACCTGTAGCCTCCCCGGAGAGCAGATACAGCGTGTATCTTTATACGGAATCTCGGTGTTCAAATGGGCTCCAAGCTAGACTTTCACCAACATGTGTTACACATAGCCAGTTGCTAGAGGCGTTACCGAAAAAAGCAACGAAATACGTTACTCGCTACTTGCAAAAGAAAGGAACGCAATACCGACATAAGTTACCTCAAAACAAAATAAACGCGTTACCGTTTGTTTTCTTTGCTTGGGCGACAGCGCAAAGCAAGGCAAACGCAAAATATCGAAGGCAGGTCGAATTAGTGCAACAAATAATGACTATACTTCACTTCAGCTTGTAGAGCTTTCCAGCGGCACTCTCGAACGAAGCGGTTTACATCGCGCGTCGCCGGTTTTGAGAGTGTACGTCAGTGTTGCCCGACTGCTCTGGGCTGTGGGTTTTCTCGTCAGTGGGCTGTGAGCCTGTGGCAGCCTGCGTAGGCGCACTTCCGGACGCTGGTGGATGCTAAATTGCCATGTTTTATTTTTCATTTTGTGTTCTATGTCGAATAGAATTTCTCGGGGTTTCTAAGAAGGGATTGCACTAGGTTTGGGAACAAAAACAAAGAAATCAAAGCTGTGTTGGTAAGTTCGTGCGCGACAGAACAAACGCAATTGGAATGTTGGTGTCATATTATGTTGTTTTTTTTACGGCACCATACACTCAGCCGTGTCAATCTACAAAGATCTTAACCGTCGAAAATATTTTACCACACAGGATATCCGAACTGCATGGATATTCCCCGCCCACAACCTGAAATTTAACGAGTCTCATCAATCGAACAACATATATTGTACGTACCCCACGGTGCCACGTTATCCGAACAGGATTTGAGAAAGGTCTCAAATAACACAGCATATCCAATGCACAGTGTCGACGATAGTCACTTCACGACGATGGAACAAAATCCAGCGTGTTTTGGGGCACATGTAAAAGTGAGCTTCTTTTTTGCACAGCTTCAAAGCAAATGAACGAACGTGTCTATTCCGCCGCCACACCCGGGACCCGACTCTATCAGCTATTTTTCGTGAAGACCCGGAACATAGCCGGGAAGGCTTTTTGGAGATTTTCTCAACGGAAATAATCCTCCAAGAACGTCGAACTGCCTGCGTCGCGGGCTGCTTGACGTTCGCTCTCTTCGTTCGTTTCCTGCGAAGGCCTAGCAGGCTTTGGAAGATAACACTCAAAGGGTAAGCATCCTAAACGGGCAAATAAAGTAAAAACTTCCAAGAAAAGCCGGCGAACTCCGAATGCACAATGCAGGTGGGGAGTCACGCTGGCCGGGTTTCCACAGCTCAGGTGGGTGGCAGAAATTTCTGGCTGATAGGGGTAGCTCAATTCGCAAAATGGCGGCGGCCAGATAGCTCTTTTTTTCTAAAAATAAAACCGCGCAGTGCAGCCAAAGCTACAGGGGAGAGCCGTGTCCGAACCTTTTTGAAGAGGAGGGAAAGGAGGAACAAGAGAGAGAGGCTGGGATTCTCAGCCTCTCTCTTCTGTTTCTCCTTTTTCCAGCATATTCAATAACGGGTAACGTAACTACGTTACCCGTTACTTAAAATAAGTAACGTAAATAGG